CTCCCCTCCTATAAATACCCAACACCCCACACCTTGTAAATACTTTGGATATTGAATATAAAGAGAGCCTTTAGTGCCTTTATATCTTTCCTTAGTCACCCTTGGCTATTTTCGGCCAAACCCTACCATCTCCACCTTGAGAGAAACAATCCTAGAAGTGGCCTTCATCATCATGAAGTGAGCCAACCCTAGAGTACCATTCTCAAGCATTTCCTCAAACACCTTCTACCCAACCTTCATTTTCGTCCATTCCATCATCATCCACCCTAAAACCTTGGTCCACCTTTGAAGAACTTGATCCTTGGAGAAGGCGTCCTCCTCCTTGCTCATCATCTCAAGTTCATGCAAGTAAGGATGCCATCACTATCTCTTAGACGGAGACTCAAATTTTCAGATGCAAACAAAGTATATTAACATGCGTTTGAAGTCCACTACTCATAACGAGAAATATCATGTATCGTCTCCAATCATAAGAAAAGCACACAAAAGCATCAAAAATATGAAAAGGAAGAAAAAAAATAGAAGAGCGTGAATTTGCAAGTTAAAACTGCGAGTGTCAGAGCAAGTACATCTATTTTTATAAAAAGACAACGCTTTTGCAGCTACACTAACAGAAAGAGAAAAGAAATACCTAGGTCATGATTGAAGTCAGACATAAAAGAGAACAAACAATGCAAAGGACTTCACGTAACTCGGATTTGGCAAGCAAACATTTAATGCAAGATCAAATGCATTAAATGAAAGATCTACATAGCCATGAACGAACTGCTATCTGCACCAAAGGAAAGCTCCGCCTCAACAGACACATTCAAATTCAAACAAAAGGCATATTCATCACAATGCTATAAATATCAAGACCTAAGAAGATAAGAATTAAGAAGTGAAGCAAAGTGAAAAGCAAACATTAAAAACAATCTTACATCTCTTCTGTACAGTCTTGTATATCTGTGTAAAACTAAGATAGCTTATCTTAGTGAATGTAGAAACCATACTATCCTCTTTGCGAGAGTTACATACACACTATAAACACATATTCTTGTAAAACTAAGTTTGAATACCTTAGCGAGTGTAGAAACCATACTATCTTCTCTGTGAGAGTCGCATACACACTCAAAACATCTATTTTTTGTAAAGCCTGAAGAGGCTAGAAAAAGAATACTTGGGGAACCAGAAGTGGTTTAAGAATACTAGCATTGACAAGTGGAGTTGACGAACCAGGAGTGGTTGAGAATACTTAGGGAACTAGAAGTGGTTTAAGAATACTAGCGTCAGCAAGTGAAGTTGACGAACCAGAAGTGGTTGAGAATACTTGTAATCCGTTGTGATTAGTGGAACCTTTCAGTTGAAGGAGACTGGGCGTAGCTCAAGATGAGTGAACCAATATAAAAACCCTATACACTCTTTATTTTCTTTCAGACAAAATTTTATTTAACTATTATATCATTGAAAACTTCGTTCACTAATTAAATACTTTTCACAGTAACCTCTTTTAGACGAAAAATACATTTGTTCAATTTATTACTTAGAAAAACATTTTTACCTATAAGAAATCTCTACCTCAAGCAGACGATAAACCATCAGACTAAAAAACCTTTTTTTGAGCCAACCATGCATAGTTTCAAGTGTTCGAAGTAATATTCTCATTAGACGAAAAACTATCACCTTGCGAAACGTTTTTAAAACTCCTTCGTTCAGACACATTCAACCCCCCGTTTTGTGTGTTTGTCGCTAACTTCAAAGGTAGGTTTCCACATTATCCTTTTCAAAAAATTGAGGGAGATCCACCTTGGATTCCCTAGGTTTAATAGTCCTCCTAGGGGTAGGTTGATAATGGTCACCTATATTAAGGCTTTCATTAGGAGAAGAGTATTGTGAGTAAGTGCTTCTACTCTTTCTCTTTCTTTTGATTTCTTCTCTCAATTTTTCTTCCTCTTATCTAAGAAGTCTAATTTCTTCTTCTAGGATAGCAAATTGAGCCTCTCTTTCAATCTTTTCCTTCTTTTTCAAAATGGCTTCCTGCTTCTTCCATAGTTTAAGTGATTTAAGCTCTTTAGCAAGGTGAGAAATACTTTTTGGAGAGTTATCACTTCCACTATAGTCAAAATGATGATACCTCTTAAACAAACGAATTTTTCACACAAAAATATTTTTGAAAATAAATATTTTTGGTGCTAGACTTAGCACTTGGAGGTCTAAGTACACAAATTGAACTATGGAGGGAGGTGAGCTACAAAGAGCCACTTAATAACCAAGCCTCTTCAAGTAGAAATTACTAAACCCCCTTGTCCCTTGTCTTGCACAAAAAATTTTCAAAAGAGAAAATAACAAACAAGTTTCTAAGTGTCCTAGCTAAATGTTCCTAGGTGTTACTTTGGCCTTTGGAACCTTGGTAACACCACTAAACACGTATAGCAAAGGTACAATCAAAACTTAACTTTCAGAAAACTTAAATGACTGAAAACTTAAACTATACGTGTAAAATAATAAACCTATGTGGGAGCTTGAGAAGCACTAAGAGATTTCAAGGACCACTCCCACCAAACACTAAAATGAAATTACCCTATTTGAAAACACTAGGGAGAGATGAAGATGTACTGAAGACACCTTCAAGACACTCCCAATGGCCTTGTACACAAATGAAATTAAAATTGCAATAGAATTAAATGAAGTGGCTGCACCAAAATTTCAAAACAAAATCAGCCACACAATTAGAAACCAAATTAGAGACGGATTTAGTGAGAAAATTTTGTGACCGAAAAAATTCTGTCTGTAATTTTCGTTTCTAATTTCCTTCAAAAATGTTCTTCAAAATTTTAGTTCCTTCAATTCCAATTCAGCCTCCAATCCTTGCAGCAACTTTCTCACAAGTGTTTCACTCCTTCTTTGAGGCAATCTTAATGGTGATTGGCTTCAAGGTGTTTTTCTACCTCAAAAGTCTTTCACACTAAGAGAAATCAATCTCCTAGGCCTCCACAAACATCCTAAGATGCTACCTTTGTATCTTTGCCTTCCAATCCTTCAAAGAAGCATTCAAAACACCAAGTAGTAGCTGGAATACAAAGATAAAATTTGAAACAACACAATTAAACAAAGCTAAACCAAATGGAGAACAAGATGAGATAAGACTAGAAGGATTGCCAACAAAAATAGACAAACTAGAATTAAGGCACAAAAGAAGGCAAACACTTCAAAGGATTCCTATCAATGGATCTAGAATAGATTACAAACCAAAAAGCTAAGATTAGAAAATGCAAAACAAAATTAATGAAGAGTATATGTTGCTGGAAAATTAATTGAAACCGAGAGCAAGAATTCTTTGATTTTTCACTCCTATTGGCTTTTTTTTTTCTTTTGCAATCTCTTTTCACGACTTTTTTTTTATACAATCAAGATTTTAATGCCTTTTATACATGTATATAAGTCTCGGATTCAATGTGAAAAAAAAATTATAAGAAGATTTCACGACAAGAGGTTCACAAGTACTTGTGTACTTCTTGTATTCAACAAATTTTTTTTGCACATTTCTTTCAAAAATTTCATGCACACATGTTCTTTGATTTTATTCAACCTTTTGTACACTTTGAACCTCTGTTTTTCTTTGTTTTGTTTGATTAAAAATACACAAAAGATTTGGCCAAAACAAGGAACTTAGGAAGCAAGTAGTGTTGATGACAATTTTTTTAACAAAATTTTTAAGAAGACATAATGGAAACCTAACTCTAAGAATTTGCTAGAACTAATAGAAAATATGAACTCAAAGATGCAAGTAAAAAGCACTCAAAGCACATTTAGGTTCAGCCGCACAAGAATATGTTCAAAACAAAATCGAATCAACACATGTTAACACAAATAGGTTCAACAAGCTAGTCTAGGAATTTATGACATGTAAAAAAAGACTACACATGACTTCTAGACAAAACTTTTAGGATTCACAAATCAAAAACACATGCTAATAACATTGTTCATACACGTATTATGAGTTAAGAAAAGGACTCAAGCAAAATAAAAAGGCACAAGCACAAGAAACCTAAAGCACCACACGGTTTGGTTCAAGATTAAGAACAAGCAAGATTTATGAACCAAACCATCAATGAGACATGTAGATCTATCAAAATATGTTCAAGATTTTAGATCTATACAACAAACATTTCAAGACAAGAAAGAAGACAATACATGACCGAAAAATTAGTAGAAGAGAAAGAAACACATAACCTCAAGAGCTACCATTGCTCTAGATGCCAAAAATGATGGAAGTGACTAGTGGAAGTGAATGTTGATCTTCTACTAGGTCCATCTGCAAGTCCAATCTTCTCTTGCAGCTTAGACTAATCTGTTAGCTTACTAATGATAACTTTCATTATGTTGTGTTGAAGGCAAAATTTGATGTTAATGATCAAGAACATAAGAAATTTATCTTCTCCAGTTTGGGGAAGAAATGGAAGGACACTCGGAGTAGGATGTTTCATAAAAATTATAATTGGGAAATTTCTGTGGAAGAAAACTGTAGGAAGCACCCACCAGACATTGACCCAGACCATTGGAGGCTTTTTGTACAATTTAGAACAAGCTCTAAACAAATGGTAATATGCTTTCATTCCATTGATTATAAGGTTGGTTACATTTATTGACACTTAGGTGTGTTAATAATGCAGGAGATATCAGATAAAAATGTAGCAAATCGTGAAAAGTTGTTGATCCCACATACTTTAGGATCAAAGACACTAGCTAGAAAAAGGGATGAGATGGTATATATATAAACTTCATTAATTCTATTTGTTATAAAAAAATAATAAAATAAATTGTATAATTATTTGTTATGTGATGCAAAACCTCAAGAATCACAAAATGGACGACATTATAGTAGAGGAGATATGTATCCAATTGCTCATTAAAAAAAAAGATGGATCCTTTGTGACTGAAGATGCTAAAGAAAAATGTGTAAGTATAGTATATTATTTATAACTTCACTCATACAACTAATCTTTGAATACTTATGTACGTGTTTAACATTATATGTAGGAACAATTGCATAAAGAAATTCAAGAAACTTCTTCTAAGAATGAGGCCTTCTTAAAGGTGTTTGGAAAGGAGCATCCTGGATATGTTAGAGGCATGGGACTTGGAGTTACACCAACTCAGATCATTGGATCATGCTCTTCTTCTATGAGATCTGGATCTCCTTCAGATGCAGCCACAATAGCACGATTGCAAGCTGAAATTGAAATGCTTAAGACACGAGTTGGTGAAGTTGATGTTTTAAAGGAGCAATTGGCTTTCCTTATGCAAACTATTAAAGGAAATCAGGTATTGAGATAAGTCTTTATAAAACAATAACTTAATTATACAATTAGTTGTTATACTCTAACTTGTGTGTTTTATTTTTCTAATTTTAGGTGGGGGACTTGGAATCACCAAGAGATTTGAGGCGATCTTCCCAATCTAGTCATGTGCCTGAAGACAATGGAGGATTATCCCATAGGACTATTTAGATATTTGTTCAGGGTTTACCTTTATATTGGTTCAAAGATCATTCAAAATGAAGTTTTCTAACAAAAAATATGATTGAAACAAATTTTGATCACTTTTGTGAGATCATTTGTTTGGAGGACAAAAATGCTAATATTTTTGGGAATTAATATTCCATTTAACTTTATTTTTGGTTAGTCTTAATAAATGTGAAAATGTGCATTTACAGTTTTATTTTATGAAAAATCGATTTATGATCAATTTAGCACTTATGTTGGATGTTTAGTGCATCAACTATCTTGTTTCCTCTAAGCGCTAGTATGCTAGAAATGTTTTATATTGTTTTCTTTCAATTGGTTTTATGATTATTATGACATGGGGAATTATGTATTAAATAATAAAGTTTGGGTTGTGGTATAAGGAAACATTAGGTGGATGTTTGAATAATTATAGAGAGACCTGCACATGCTTTAAGATTTATTCAGGAGCTCTTTGCCCATAAAGAATTCACTAGACCTACTAATAGCATTTGTCAAATCACTAAAAAAATTACTAGATTTTCTCTAAATATTTGTAACATAGGAACAACCTAGGTCATTCTTCTGGAATACACAAGCCAATTCGATCTAAAATTATCACACAATTAGGGAGGGAATTTTTATGAACAGCAAAAAGAATTTAGAATATTACAAACACATACAAAAAATTCAATAAAAAATTACATCGATTCAAGGTTTCAATCGTTACGATAAAATTTTCACAATTTAAATTATAATTAAAATTCAATCAACCTAAATCAATAGAACATAATCAAAATGTAGATCTAAATCTAGATCTATTGAATTTCATAAAAACATGAAACACAATCATGATCTCACAATTTCATTGAAATTCAAGAATGGTGAATGATTGATTTAGGTTATTTTAGATCTAAATCTAAATCTAGATTTAGATCTAAAATTAATCCTTAAATATGATCCAAATCTATTAAAACAAAATTCATAATCATGAAAAATGAAAAATGGATCTAGAATGGCAAAGAAGACGAAGAGAAATCGTACGGTAAAAATAAATTGGGAATTCAAATTTTATTGTACTTCAATCGGATGAATGAATTAGTCACACATCTTCATCAAGATGTTGCAATTCCTTTGTGTAGAAAAATGTAAAGAGAAAATTCTAAGAGAGAAGGAAAGAAGAGATAATTTATAAAAACTTATAAAGGAAGCAACTCTAAAATCTGGAAAATGAGTGTAAAGTGTATACAACAAGTCTCACAACACCTATTAGTAGAGAAATATAGTGTGCCTAATCTGAGTAATTAAAGGCCTAGCCCACTAAATCAACTAAGTACATCACTAAACAAATCCTAACATTACAATCTAAAAAGAAAAAGAAAATATTGTGCAAGGTCTCAACTTTGTAACATAATTTTGGGTTACTTAACATCTGAATTGGCCTTTTCTTCGAACAAATAAGTTTTAGAACTCTCTCTTATCTTTCCAGGGACACCAAGAACGCCCAAATCCAATGTCAGGAGCTCTAGATATAGCCTGCACAAGAAATAATGTCAAAATAGAAAAAAAATTATGAAAATTAACTAGAATTTACAACTAAGACCAAAATGACTCATGTGAGACCCGTTCTATCCCAATATATAACAATAGAATAAAATGAGAAAATTATTAATAATTTTGAGTGAAACAATTCACATATGAAACACTTCCAAACATCTAGCCAATTTGGAACAAAAATTATAAAATATAAGTTTACAATTATGACTAACAAGAACTATAAAATCCAAATAAAATAAGATTTTCAATCTAAGTCCCTTGCCTCGATGTCACACTATCAGAGCAACCCTTAAGTTCAAATGTCAGCAGCTTGAGTGCCACCCACATCTAGTTCATCCTCACCTAAAACAACCACAAATAGTACGGTGAGAAAAACGGGCATTTACATACAACTTACAAGAAGGAATTCCATACATTACAACTCATTCCATAAATAAATATAATTAAACATATCAGCCAATCTCATGTCATAATATTATTTCGAACCTATCCCATCAAATCACCACATCACAATATAAATATGCAACATGAACACACTCACACTGATGCTCATGCACCACAACCTTCTAAGGAGCATTAACTCGGAGTGCCGCATAGTGAGCGAACGTTATCAATCCCCTCAAGCATCACCTCGCACTTACCCACTGTTATACAACACACAGGCTAGTGGATATATAAGTATAACATGCATTCCTTGTTATACATCACACAGGCCAAGGTAATGCACTGCCCTGTTAATCACCACACAGGCCAAGGCGGTTATACTTATATATTATACATTCTCTATTATACACCACATAGGCCAGGGTAATGCATATGCGTCTATCGATGGTCATACCATTCTACCACATCCATTCTTATTCTCATCCATGCAAATGCATTGCACACAAGCATTTTCATACATAACAATACATTATACACAAATCTTTTCATACATCACTCATTCAATTACCAGTCATTCACATTCAATCACATTCATATAGCACTCATCCAAATACAAACCATTCATACTCAAATATACTCAGTCAAATGCACACCATTTATATCTATTCATACAATAATCATTATTGGACACCATACGATTCACAAGTATCATCAAAATCCATCAATATAATACCATATTTCACAATTCCACATCAAACTCATTCAATCATATCATAAGTATTATAAAGCATCACTAAGAAATTATAAAGTATCATAAACATGCCAAAAAGGGGTCCCAAAACATCAAAAATGCAAACTGAAATAGAATACCCACACCGGGTACTGTAAATCTTGACAACTTGACCTCTACTCACTATTTTGACCATAACTTAAGTTATACACATTCCTTTTGATTGATTCCAATGCCATTAGAAAGATAACACCTAAGGCTACAACTTTTGTGAAGAATATCAAGCCTAAAAATGTCGCTAAGATCATCTCGTATGGATGACAACACAAAACTTAATATTTCATACACTATAATAGAGATTGAACTTATAACTCACATAACTCAATCAATTCTTAACATTTTTACATGATTCTAGAGTCTAAATTATAGCCCCATGTTTCTACTTCTAACCCAATAAACAGAAATTAATTTGGTTAATCATGCAGAAAGATATTACAAAAATAGTAAGATATATTCATAAGTAAAATCTCTCAATTACTCATTAACTCATATAATTAAGGGTGCTCATCAATCTATAAGAACCCTTGTTAATTCAGACGAAGCGCATTTGTAATTTCCACCGAGATTTTGAATATGACAAATATAATACGTATTGTTCTTGATGAAATGTGTATTAGTGTTTCAGATAAATGATAAGAAGTTCAAGAAAAATGAAGGGCAAGAATGATCAAGCATGATCAAGTTGGACAAGACATCAGACGATGGCAGAAGTTAGTATGGAGACTAAGGTCAATTGAGGTCTAATCAAAATACAAGATAAGACGAATCTATCAGCTGAAGCATGAGGAATCAGATGTAAGACCAAAACAAGCATTGTATGAATCTAAGTCAAGCATAAAACGGAAGTTGCACAGACATCAACATGAAGTGATGAAAACATCAGATAGAACCAAACGAATTAGGACACGAAGTTATCACTCTCAAGACTAGACGAAGAATCCTTTATCCGAACGCATTCGAAAAGTAATGAAGCGCGTCTAAAGTCCAGTAATTACATCGAGTGAAATTAGACAAGAAACACAAAAGGACGTCAAACTAGAATACAAAAAAGAAGAAAAATAGGTAAGCGTAGAGTTACAAGTCAAAGCTGCATATGTCAGAAAAAGGACACCTAAGTTTCAAAGAAAGACAACAACTGCAACAACTAAATTGATGAGACAAGTACAAATATGCCTAAATTATGATTAAAGTCAGACATTGGAGTAATCAACTACACAAAAGGATTTCACGTATACCAGCAAACATTTAATGCAGAATCAAATGCATTAAATGAAAAGATTTACATAGCCATGAATAAGCCTCCATCTGCAACGACATGAAGCTACGCTCCAATGGGAAAATTTGAATTCAAACAACAGGCAGATTTATCAAATGGTTATAAGTATCAAGGCAAAGAAGAAGAAGTAGTAGAACAGAGAAGTGGAGAAAATGTGCAATAAGAAAAAGAAAGCAAAAGAGTATAAGCTACATTTCTTCTCAAAAAGCATTTCCTGTATATCTGTGTAAAAACTAAGATAGCTTATCTTAGTGAGTGTTGCTGATAGTCTATCCTCTTTACGAGAGTAAACAAATACTTAGACACTTATTCCTGTAAAACTAAGGTTACGCACCTTAGAAAGTGTAGAAGCTAATCTATCCTCTTTGTGAGAGTTGAAAACAAACTCAACACCTTCATTTGCTGTAAAGCCTGAAGAGGCTAGTAGAAATAATACTTGTGAACCAGAAGTTATTTGAGAATACTAGCGCTAGTGAGTGAAGCTAGCGGGCTAGAAGTGGTCAAGAATACTTGAAAAACCAGAAGTGGTTAAAGAATACTAGCGTCGACAAGAGAGGTTGACAAGCCCGAAGTGGTTGAGAATACTTGTAATACTGAGTAATTAGTGGAACCCTTCGGTTGAAGGAAACTGGACGTAGCTCAGATTGAGTGAACCAGTATAAACATCTATGCATACCTTCTCCTATACTCACTTCATTTTCATCCATTATTTTCTTTTCAATAAACTGTTAGACGAAAACACAACTGCTTATCTTGTTTGAGAAACAATTCCTTTTATTGGACGATAAAATCTTTCAGACATAAAATAAACTCACCCAACTTGTTTCTTAAAGTAGACAATCTATTTTGTTAGACAAATCTTCTTTACAAGCCTGCACAAGTTTTCAACTATGATTGAACACTCTATTCATTTTAAGAGAAAAATAGCATTGCAAAGCAACTTTCAAAAATCTACATTCGAAAACGCACACACACATTCAACCCCCCCTTCTGTGTGTATTTTCGCTAACTTCAGTTGGTATCACTATAGAGGTAATGATCATGGAAAATAAAGGACAAGTCGTGAACCACCCACCCCTCTTCAAAGGGACAAAATATGACTACTGGAAACAAAGAATGATAGCATTCTTTGATGCATGTCATATAGACATGTGGGACGTCGTTGAGCAAGGAAACTACATTCCACTAAATCAAGCTGGCAACGAGATACCCAAAGCACAACGGAGTGAAAAGCAAAAGCAAAGATTTATGTTGAACTCCAAAGCACGCAACACACTCATGTGTGCTCTGTCTGAGAAAGAATACACTAAAGTTCACAGCTTTAGAAGTGCCAAACAAATGTGGGACACCCTAGCTCTGACCTACGAAGGGTCTCTAGAGGTAAAGTGCAACAAGCTAAGCTTGTTGGCACGTAAGTATGAACTATTTGAGATGGAAGAAAGTGAATCTATTCAAATTATGTTTGGAAAGATTCCAAACCATTGTTAATGAACCTTCCTTCCCAGGTAGAACTTATGATAACTTTGATCATATTGACAAATTACTTCGAAGTTTACCTAGGAAATGGAGACCACAGGTTACTGCTCTAAGAGCGTCCAAAAATCTGGAAAAGATCTCCCTGAAGGAACTCATTGGACTACTTAAGATTCATAAGTTAGAGTTGCAACAAGATGACGCTGGGAGAAAACAAAAGTCTATTGCACTAAATGTGTAGAAGACAAAATCTACACCATCCTCCTCAAAAGCTCTAAAGGCAGATACGTTTGATGAAAGCTACAGTGAAGGGACCTGCGATACAGATGATGAAATATCTTTCCTATCAAGAAAAATTCATTCAATAATGAAGAAAAAGGGAGGAATACGATGGAGGAAATATAGCAGAACTCCCAGGGAAAGGGCACAACCATTATGCTATGAGTGTAAGAAACCTGGATATTACAAAATAGAATGTCTAGAACTCGAAAAAGAAAAGGAAAAAGAAAAAGAGAAGAAGAAGTTGATCCCATACAGAAAGAAGAAAGCCATCATGGCCACTTGGGAGGACCTCGACACAATGTCATCTGAGGATGACAAAGAAGAAAATATTTATCTCATGGCAGACACAGACTTATCATTAGAATCTGATATTGAGGAGGTAACTGAATCTGACTTTAAAATTCTTGAGCATGCATACAATCAACTTCTATCAAATTTAGTAAAAATCTCTACTGCATATAAAGATCAAAAGAAAAGAATTTTGGAACTACTTGAAGAAAACCGTTTACTGAAAAATGAAAATGCAAAACTCTTAGAAGAGACAGAAAAAAGGTTTTTCAACTTCAGAAAAAGTAATCAAGCTTAACAAAGAGATTGATCTATTGAAATCAGACCTATCAAAATTCACACTAGGAACAAAAAATCTTGAGCATCTTTTAAAACACTATAGGAGTGGGAAAGATAGATCAGGACTAGGATATGTTAACTCTGAATCAGAAATTAAAACAAGAACATACGCATCTTTTTCGCATGGAAAGAATGGACATTTTACGTCCAAGTGCAGTCACATGCACAAGAAGAGGGATTCCAAAACCTCCAGTACTAATACTCATGGACCCAAATCCATTTGGGTACCAAAGATTGATATAGTGCCTGTTGCAGATCTGTTCAACAAGAATAAAAAGTGTTCAGTCATGGTACCTGGATAGTGGCTGCTTGTGACACATGATGGGCGAAAGGTCTATGTTCCTAGACCTCAAGTCCAAGAAAGGAGGGCAAGTCACATTTGGAGGAGGACAGAAAGGATATATCATGGGGATAGGTAAAATAGGTATCAACTCCTCTATTTCCATTGATAATGTTCTGTATGTTAAAGGATTAACGCATAATCTACTAAGCATAAGTCAATTGTGTGATAGTGGTTATGAGGTATCCTTCAACAAAAATAAATGTACTGTGAGTCAACCTGATTCATCCGTATTATTTACAGCTAACAGATGCAACAACCTGTATAAAATAATGCTTAACGAACTAGAAAATCAAAATGTTGATTCTCTAGTTTCATATGAAAATTAGTGGATCTGGCCAAGAAACTTGGTCATGCAAGCTAGAGATTAATCTCAAAGCTGAAAAAGCATAACCTCGTAAGAGGACTACCAAATCTTGTACATCATACGAACAGTGTATGTGAAGCATGTCAAAAGGGGAAACAAATTAAAAGTCATTTCAAAGTAAAAATCATGTTTCCACCTCAAGACCTCTTAAAATGCTCCACATAGACTTGGTCCCACTAGGACAACATCTGTAAGTGGTAAAATATATGGATTGGTTGTTGTGGATGATTACACCAGATGGACATGGTTGTTGTTCATAACTCACAAGGATGAGTCTTTTAAGGTATTCCATGTATTCTATAAAAGAGTTCAAAATGAAAAAGCAATATCAATTGTTTCTATCAGAAGTGATCATGGGGGAGAATTTGAAAATGATCAATTTCAAGAATTTTGTGAAGAAAATGGAATTAAACACAATTTTTCAACACCTAGAACTCCACAGCAAAATGGGGTTGTAGAAAGAAAGAATCGATCGTTACAAGAAATGGCAAGAACTTTACTAAACGATTTCTCCACCCCCAAACATTTCTGTGCAGAAGCAGTTAATACTTCCTGCTATATTCAAAACAGAATATATATTAGGCCCTTATTGAAAAAGACTCCCTATGAATTATGGATGGGACGAGCACCCAACATATCATATTTTCATCCGTTTGGATGAAAATGCTTTATTTTGAATACCAAAGACAATTTAGGAAAATTTGACTCAAAAACTTACTCCTACTTGGATATTCTGAAAGGTCAAGAGTCTATAGGGTATTCAACAACAGAACCAAAACTGTTGAAGAAGCCATTCATGTTAAATTTGATGAAAACAAGCCTGATAAAGAAATATCAAAGCTAGGCAATTTCTTCGAAAACATGCAGGTGAACAATGATCAGAAGAAGAAGCTTGAGTCTGAAGAAACAACAACTCAACAGGATGAAAGAGAGGAAAGAGAACTAGTCAATCACAACTGGCAGATGAAAGTTCACCACCCATAAGAACAAATCATTAGAGAAGCAAAGGATGGAGTAAGAACTAGAAGTTCGTTCAAAACACAAGCACAAATTGCACTGCTATCCCAAGTTGAACCAAGAACCACGGACGAAGCCCTGTCAGACGAAAGCTAGGTTCAGGCCATGCAGGAAGAACTAAGCCAATTCCAGAAAAATGATTTCTGGAAACTTATTCCAATGCCTGAGGATAGGACGATCATAGGAACAAAATGGGTGAACAAAAATAAATTGGACGAATCAGGGAACGTTGTAAGGAACAAAGCAAGGTTAGTTGCAAAAGGGTACTCTCAACAGGAAGGTATAGATTTTACTGAAACTTTTGCACATGTTGCCAGAATAGAAGCCATTAAAATCGTACTTGCTTTTGCTGCATATACTGGCATGAAATTATACAAGATGGATGTTAAAAGTTCATTTTTAAATGGAACAATCTCGAAAGAAGTTTACGTAAGTCAACCTCCTAGTTTTGAAAATGAACTATTATCATCTCATGTTTTCAAACTAATTAAAGCCTTGTATGGATTAAAGCACGCACTACATGCATGGTATGAAAAATTATGCTCCTTTCTAACAAATAATAATTTTATAAGAGGCAAAATTGACTGCACTTTGTTTAGAAAAGAAATAAAGGATGATTTCATCATAGTTCAAATCTACGTAGACGACATAATTTTTGGTGCTACTAATGAAAATCTATGCCAAGAGTTTTCCAAGCTTATGTAGGATGAATTTGAAATGAGCATGATGGGAGAACTGAAGTTCTTTCTAGGACTTCAAATCGTCCAATCAAAAGAAGGAATTAAAATTCATCAGACGAAATATACAAAAGAATTATTGCAAAAGTTTAAGATGGAAGATGCGAAACTAATGAAGACACCAATGCATCCCTCAACTACTCTTGGTCTGGATGAAGAATCACCAGACGTTGATAGCACGATGTATCGAGGAATGGTTGGCTCTCTCTTGTACCTAACAACGTTAACACCCGACATCATGTTCAACATCTGCGTCTGTGTTAGGTTCCAAGTACGACCTAAGGAGGTACACTTACAAGCAGTTAAAAGAATTTGAAGTTATCTCAAAGGAACACCTAACCTAGGCATCAGCTTCTATAGAAGCCAGAAATTTTCTCTTCTAGGATATTGTGATGCAGATTATGCAGGAGACAAATGGGAAAGAAAAAGCACTAGCGGAGGATGTCATTTCCTTGGTCACTGCTTGGTTTCATGGACTAGCGAGAGGCAAAGTACGATTGCCTTATCAACCTGTGAAGCTGAGTATGTTACTGTAGGGTAGTGTCTTACGCAATTACTTTGGATCAAACACCAGCTGGAAGACTACGACATTTATGATAGTAGTATTCCTGTACTCTATGATAACACTGTTGCAATTAACATCTCTAAAAATCCTGTTTTGCATTCTAGGACCAAGCATATAGAAATTAAACCTCATTTCATTATAGATCATTTTCAAAAAATAACATTTTAACTAATTTATTTTAAGACTGAAAAACAACTAGCTGATATCTTCACCAAACCCCTTCAAGAATATAGATATTTCGTTTTTCGAGATAGGCTAGGAATGGAATTGATAGATGATCAATAGTATATTGCACTCGCCCTCTATTTCTTTTTGTTGATCACAAAGGGGGAGAAAGATCACAAAAAAAATCTATCAACTAAAAAGGCCACAACGTAAGGGGGAGAGTATAGTCTAAGGGGGAGGATCGTCCTTAGTACTTTAGAAAACGCATAGAAACCCCTTCATTACAAAGTCACATGATATTTGTTTGCTCCATGTCTAATATAGGATGCTTGATATGTATGAGAAATACATTAAAAAAAATGACTTGATAGATTATATTTGTCATCATCAAAAAGGGGGAGATTGTTAAGTCAGACGAAGCGCATTTGCAATTCCCACCGAGATTTTGAATATGACAAATATAATACGTATTGTTATTATTGACATGTGTATTAGTGTTTCAGATAAATGACAATAAGTTCAGGAAAAATAAAGGACAAGAATGATCAAGCATAATCGAGTTGGACAAGACATCAGACGATGGCAGAAGTTAGTATTAAGACTAAGGTCAATTAAGGTCTAATCAAAATACAAGATAAGATGAATCTATCAGCTGAAGCATGAGGAATTTCAGATGTAAGACCGAAACAAGCACTGTATGAATCTAAGTCAATCATGGAACGGAAGTTGGACAGACATCAACATGAAGTGATGAAAACATCAGATAGGACCAAACGAACTAGGACACGAAGTTATCACTCTCAAGACCAGACAAAGAATCTTGTATCCAGACGCATTCGGAAAGTAATGAAGTGTGTCTAAAGTCCACTAATTACATCGAGTGAAATCAGAAAAGAAAAACAAAAGGACCTCAAACTAGAATACAGAAAAAAAAATAGGCAAGCATGGAGTTACAAGTCAAAGCTGCGTATGTCAAAAAAAGGACACCTACTTTTCAGAGAAAGACAGCAACTACAGCAGCTAAACTGATGAGACAAGTACAAATATGCCTAGATTATGATTGAAGTTAGGCATTGGATTAATCAACTACACAATAGGATTTTGTTAAGACAGACAAAGAAACTCCCAACAAGGTTGTGAG